CTGATGGTGGTCAGAGGGGCCGGTTGCACCAGTGTACGGCAGCCCCGCTTCTGTCAGTGAGTCCCAGGAAAGCTTACCACCATCAGTGTGTGAGTGTGTGTGTGAATGGGTGAATGAATGTAGTGTAGAGCGCTTTGGTCAAGTCTCCTGACTTGAATAAAGGCGCTATATAAGTACATGCCATTTACCATATAGTACCCAAATGCATTGTTGTTCCTCTCTACAGGATACCATCAGGAAATTGATGACTCAAAAAATCTTCTTTCCACACATATTATAATGTTTAATGATCTTTTATTAGCAAACTCTGACCCAGCAAAGATAGCGGTAAGTCTCAAGTAAAATATCAAATAGAAAATAAATAATATGGTTCAACCATCTGACCCCTCCTTTATGATGTCTGAGTTTCTTAAATCGGTCTGGTCAAATTTCTTTGTGTCTTCTGAGAATCTTTATTTGGTTTGGTCAAATGTCTTTTTGTCTTTTGTCTTACTTTGCTCTTCTGAGATGGGAACCCAGACAAGAGTTCCCAGATTAACAAAAACTTGCCTCTTTTAACGTGTCCAGAATGGGATTCTGCATTTCCATGTAAGGGACTGAAGGTGATCAACTCATCATCCAGAACTTGCAGTCCTTCCTGCATCCAGTACAGTCTAGACTTATCAACAACAGGCCCCAGCTAACAAGGGCTAAACCAACAGTTAAGGAAGTCATAGACATCATCATCTGCTGGCCTCTGGGAGGCTTTGAAACAGTCGATGCAGATCCATCAGAGTGTTCAACAGCTTCTTCACTGAAAAAAACAAACCAAAAATACTGCATATTTGCACCATATAGCTTAATGCTCTGAACTTCCATATCAATGTTTTTTTACATCACGTTTTTTCTCCCTCGCTGTTTACATTTGATCACTGCTGCACTTTATGGGATGGAAATGTTAATTTACTGTTTGGAAAGCTGAACTAAATGAAATTTCATTTTGTATACAATCTAACAACTGAATTCTTGTGTCACTGGGATGTTTTTATCACTGTACTCACTTCATTTTCTGGTTCAAACTGTTTTAAAGGGAATAAATCGTAGCCCTGTTGCCCTGCTGATAGCTTAATTTTTAGCAAAACAATAGGAAGGCTTTATCATTTAGCCCTGTTCATTCTCTTTCTTACCATAATGTTTATTTGTAATACCATAGAACAGGGAAATTCCATTAGAAAATTATTTAAGATCTGCTCAACCTCTGACACATTGAGCTGGGGTCTGTCTCTTCCAGGCAGAGGTGTACAGGAAGCTCTGCTGAGGGTAGGGTGTCTCATTATTCCCTCATTTGCCAGACAGTCACTGTGGTGTTGGATGTAAATGTTTTACTTTCTATCATAATTATTTGTGAGGAAAACAAAATAAGCCAGAATGAACTTCATATCTTCAGGCTGCTTAACATGATCCATACACTGCTCAACTCAAGGACAGAGTTTGGTTCTTTTATGTGAGGTGTCCTTTATTTAAGCACCAATAGAAAGTCTTTCTGCTGTTTGTCTTTCCAGACCGCCTGCAGGATGATGTTGGAAAAG